GGAAAGGGTTTGTTTTCATTACTGCCAGTGTTGGTTTAGTTGTTCAAGGCATTGGCAGTACAAAACAATGTGTTATTGCATGCTAGTCCTAAATATTCCATAAGAAACTAAGAAACATAAAGCCAAGAAAATGATGTTTCTAAAATGGTGTTTCACAGGACAAAACTAAGTGAACTTTATTTGATAGGAGAGAATGAGTGGTGGTTGGGGCTTTGCACCTTGGGTGAGCCAAGTTTCATAATCAGACAAGATTCTCCCCACCCATGTGTACTTAGCATATCCTCGTGATGCTGTTTCCTAAAGAAACAGGGTGGAGCCGTGACCAGTGTAGCCATAGGTGGTCTATTATAAATGCTACATGGAATGGTTATTTCTCAACTTCTACAATGGATTTTTTTCTTTTAAAAGGACTTCAGTTTTTTCCCAGATACTCAGGGGGTGTAGTTTGTGTGTTCCAGTTATACTTTCAGTGCTCCACACGCCTGGAATCGCTGAAGTCTATGAAGTCTACTCCTTTGCCATGATGAACGTGAGAAGCAGAGAAACCAAGATAACACATGAGCACGGTCCTGGCGGGTCAGATGCCCTTAAAAACAACCTATGAAGAGACAGATTGAGCGCTCTTTCCCATCTCAATCTCTTGCCTACTCACTGACCCTAAATTTTGAGGTTTGCATGGAGGTCTAGGCTATAGGATGGCCGGCAATAGGATCTGCAGGATAGGACATGCAAAAAGGCAGATGGCTGAGTGAAAAAGCCCCACCTCCTGGTTGTTTGGAAACATGGGAGCATGCAGAATCATCATATGAAGTTGTTAAAAGGCAACAGTTTTGTCTCTATCTCTAGACATTCTGATGAGCTTACATCTGCAGTTGGACCCAGATGTGCATTTCTAATTGTGGATTCTGAATCAAGTGGTCCATGGCCAAGGCTGTAAAATACTTCTGTTAAGGTATAGAATGGGCAAAGTGTTAGAATCTATCCCCTTTATATGCTTTATGTTCATTTGCACCAGATGTTATCTGACCCAGTGTTTTGATGCTCACTAAAAAAAAAAACCAACCAACTAAACAAAAAGCCTAATAACAAACATAGACCTATCAAGATAGAAAAAAAAATAACTATTATGGGAGAGATAAGCAAACAATGGCCACTGGAAGAAAAGGAGAATTTTTGTGTCTAACATTTGCTGACAAGTTAAAGGTAGAATCCAGAGGCCAATGTCAGACTGTTAAACAATTTAGAATATTTGTTTTTCTAAATTAGACAACAGCAAGTTGAACATTATACTTATTAGTAAGTTCATAACCTGAAATTTAGATTTTTTTTTTTTTTCTATACAAACAACAGGATGAAAGACAACTCTGAAGTATAGAAAACTCACCTCAATAAATAGTGTCAAGCTTGGGAAAACACCAATAGGGTGCTGCCAGCCGTAGGATTTTTAAGTGTATTAGGCTCGATTATATAAATCCGAGGGGTATCTTTTGACATTATATTGAAGCTATCTGCCTGTCCATCTCCTTCTCAGAATGTCCACCTTTAAGAATTAAACCCTTAGTTTTCTGTTCAAAGTCAACTTCAGGAAGTGGGGTTAGTTATGTTGAAAACAAAAGGATTTTCGATACGTTTGATCTTTTCATAATGAAACTAATTCCCTCTTCATAACAATAATTGTGAAAAGAAACACAGTATAATAGGTAAAGAACACATTTGCTGTTTTTATTGGTGCCTTGCATGGCAGTAATACTGAAAAAAGAATGCAAAAACAAAAAAAACAGAAACAAAACAAAAACAGGTTGGTGGCAACCCACATCTTTTTTTTTTAAGAGTACATAAACTCCTGTTTTATTTTTATTGTGGCATGAATGATAACATAAAACCAAAAACATGAAAATATACAACTTATATTACACTATGTGTTATGAACAAAATATAAATCTATAACTCTATGTTATATTTACATAATTATTTATTTTATTAAATTTCAAGTGAGATGGTAGGTTGCACATACTTTGTTTTAAGCTCCAGGCATTTGATTGTCTCTTTTCTACTTTTTTTTTTTTTTTTTTTACCATTTTTACTCATAAAATCCAAAATGTTAGAAGGACTAAGAGCTTTAGAGCCAGTGGAGCTATATAAATACTGTTTTAGTGAACCAGTGACAGAAACACTGGGGAGGACAGGAATCAATCAGTAGAAAACTCAACACAACGTCATCTTAGACCTGGGAAACTGAGAGTTATAGGAAACTTTAAAATTAAATACTGTAAAAGCCTGTCTAAACAAAAACCTATGCCCTATAAGACAAAGAGCTATCTGAACCACTTTTAGTGGGCTTCATATTTTTCCTTGCAGACCCCATAATTTTTATTTTACTCTTAACTTGATAAACAAATATCTTATAAACCTGCTTGTAAATATACAGTTGTTTATTACAATTCAATAATTTACCTATTAGAATGCTTGAAAATGTAATTATTTCTGATGCTTTAAATGTGATATAAGAGGTTTCTTCTGGGAATAGTAACTACTTATGGATTAAGAAAATATCTGAAATTGGACCATGAAATACTTAAAGATAACTATCTTTAAACAAATTCAGGTAAAAGCCTACTGTAGAAATCAAATCTATGAAATAATTTCATCAAAGAAAACTCTCTTATACTTGCTCCTTGTAAGAGGATTTGGTTTCAATATGTTCTTTGGGGGCAGATTTTATACAGGGTTAACTCTTACCCGCAGATGCCAAATAAATGTTAAAAATGGACTGAACTAATTTAGGGATAAGTGTACTGAAGGATACTTTTGTATTTTATCCAATTGTAGTAACCAGCTGAATTATTAGTAACTTACAAATGAGCAACTTAAACTTGTTTTTGTCCAGTAATGTTCTCTTAGATTCATATTAAAACATGACTTTTTAGAGGAACTGATTACAACAGCATAAAAAAGCATTTTGGCAGGATCACTCCTCAGTACTAGGGTGAGTGAGTACTAGGGTGAGTGTGTGTGTGTGTGTGTGTGTGTTGGGGGGAGACAGAGACGGGTGAATGGAGAGGTAGGGAAAGAAAGGAGAGAGGAGGGAGATTATGTTCATCTTCGTTTGAGCTTACTTTCATTTCTTTCACCTCACCTTTCTTGGTCATCATGGGGCACAGAAAAAGAATACAAGGTTTTAGGATCCTTTACAAAAATTATAAACCAATCAAATGCCAAAAAGGCAACCTGTTAAACACAGTATGTTGCTATTCATAGCACCTTTATCAAATGACTTCAAAGTACTTTAAACATTAATCTAATTTTTTTGTTTCTTTCGGGGAAAACTAAGGCAAAGAAATCGTAACACCAGTGAGTTAGATGTCAGAACAAGAGAATATAGTGCAGGGCCACGAACTTGCTTTTTGTTAGTCATGCACAGTTTAGTCCCTGTGACATAAATTTAACTAAACAAAATTAACTTCTAAATTTCAGCAGTTAAAGGTCACTATTAACAATTTTGTTTTCCCTTTTAACTAAAACAAAATAAAAAACATACAAAGAAGACCAAACAGAAGTGTCTTGTCAATGTCCTGGTATGTGCGTTAGTATGGTTTCAGCCACGAATGCCCTCAAGTGGCATCTACCTGGAGCTAAAACAAAGTATTCTTGTAGCCCAAAGTCATGAAATGAAAACCAAGTATTTTTTATAACATGGAGTAAAATAAGTATCCAGCAAACGTGAGAGGTGAACCCACATAAATCAGAGAAAATTTCTTAATGAAGACAGAGAACAAATTTTTAAAAATCTGTTTTCACATTTGTACATAATAACGATATAAAAACAAGTGTCTATTTTTTTTCTTATCCAGAGTGCTTAGAAACAAAATGAAACAAACAAAAACAGAAACAAAAAAGTTGGCTCTAGATGACTGTGGCAGTAAAATAACTGAAATGACTGATGAGAGCGTAAGTTAATTAAGATTGAACACGACCCTCCTACTAATTCACTCCTTTGTATTAAACACCAGAACTTGACATTATTGGGGCCAGATTTTTTAAAAGGAGAAAACTTATGGAAGGAGCAGTAACATTATCTGGGTAAATGTGTGTGTGTGTGTGTGTGTGTGTGTGTGTGTGTGTGAAAATTCATTTTAAATATCTAACAGCTTATTGGCTGCACTTCCAAATCAGAGCAGAATAAAATAGAAAGGGAGAAATAAATTATACATAACTTACTAATCTGGGAACAGCTGACCATTATTATTATTATTACTATTATTATTATTATTTCATCATCATCATTATTACAACACTAGCAAAAAGAGGCAGTTCAAATGAAAATACAGTCATCAAAAACAAACAGTAAAACAAACAAAACAAAATCTCTGACATGCAGGATATGATCAGCTCCTCCAAGCAAAAACCCCAGAGCAAGTCTTTTGAGAGAGAGAAAAATAAAAAGGAATTTTTTTTCTTATTTATATGTAAAAATCAAATTTTAGGGTCGGGTTTGGGGTGGGGGGAAATGGGATAGGGAAGTGATGACTGGAGTTAAAATCACAGCACTTCCAAACTACTGGTTGGAGTATTTACTATCTGATCCTCTGCACCAACGGTGGCAGCTGACTTTCGGTGAGTTTGCATTTATTTGTACAGGCCCAACTGCCTTAGCACTTGGCTGGCAACATCTAAATAAGCAGTCCCGTCATCATGCGTTGTTGCTCTATGCACACGCTCCGCTGGAACCTGCACTTGGACTCCAGTGGCCTCCTCTGACAGCAAGGGATGCGCAGTGGCGGGGATCGCCGGGTTCAGCCGGGCTCCATTGTGTTGGGCTGCGATGACCTTTAATCAAATCCTGCTTTTGGCATGAGATGCACGTGGCCCACAATTCTGAAAGGCAAATGGCCTCCACCTCATTTAATGGAGAGATGAAAAATACCCTTGTAAAAATCATCAGTTCCATTTCCTCATCAGGAAAGGATGGGATTTTGAAGAAAGAAGCTAATTCTTTGTTTCTGGAAAATGGGCAAATGTATTCAAGGAAAACAATTGTTCTGCTTGAAGTTATCAACAGGGAAAACAAACAGAAATCATTAAGTAGCAAACGTTAGTGAAACCAACTGAGCAGGGAGAAGGGACATCTGGGAGCAGTTTGCTAGTAGCTTCCATATTACACATGCACACGTCTGTTACACAGGGCCACCTGATTCATCCAATAATAATCCTATTAGAAATTTAAAAATATAATTTCTGAGCCCTATATTGGTTAAGTTGTCATTTGAAGTGCAAAGTCAAGGTCAAGGTTGCTTCCAGACCAGTCACTTAGGAGGATGGTGGGATTTCATCCCCAGGCGTGGGTTTAACTCACAATGGTCCAACGTCATTCCTATTAGTACCATAATCACACACATACATACACACAAAAATCCAAGATCAGAAAATATTTTTCTCTAAATTTCTTATGTCTCTCTCTCTCTCTCTTTTTTCACCTGAGAACAGCACCTACAGTTTCCATTAAAAAAAAAAAAGTCAAATCTCACCAGCTGCTGGTATTTCAGGTTTTTCAAGGGATTGTCTAAGATATAACACTGTCCTAACTTAAGAAGGAACAGGAAAAAGAAAAGGAAAGAAATGAATTGGGTCAACACTTCAGTACAAATTTGGCACTTGCTCAAAGATGTAGTGCGGTGTGCTAGATAAAGTCCTCTAAAGAAAATAATTGCTCATTTTTGTGATGGATAGTAAGGAAGTTAAAAACAGGCTCTTTTTCCCTCTTCCCCCCCATGCACAGACTTCCATCTATAAAGTATAGAGATGGAGAAGGTGGAGAGAAGTCAAGAGAAATTCATCTTTCTTTTATCTGTCAGGTGCATTACAAAAACAAAAACAAAAAAACCCAAAAAACGAAGAAAAGAAAAAAAAAAGATAAGGAAGGAGGGAAGGAAAAGGAAAACCCCCAGAAAACCCCTAAAACAAAACAAAACTTATTTCTTTTTAAAAATTGTAGCACAAAACAACAAAACACATTCACAAGCCACTTGTTGGCACTGTGTACCTGAGTGAGAATTTCTAGAACATTGTAGAACAAACAGCCATAAAGTTTATTTAAAAAAAAAAAGTTGACGGGTAAGACTTCAGTGCTTGGATGTAGCAGCTGAATTACTGGCATTATTTTACCCATAGCTTATTTCAATCTCTTGTTGTTGATATTGTTGTTTGCTTGTTGAATTTTTTTTTTGTTTTTCCTTTCCAAGCCTTTTGAGGCTGAGGTCTATTAGTCAGCTGATGTCCCAACTATTTAAGACTAACAGTTAAAGTAACAGTCAGTGTATGAGAAAGTTAATGTGCTTGGCCACTGGTAAGGACGAACCAGCTAGGGCTTCTTTAAGTCCTACGGTCGCAGCAGTCTTTTGGTCCTTATCAGTTGGCTTGTCCTGCAATATGGTTTTCACTGTCACTCCCATAATCTACATCGGGGTCGTCTTCTTCCTCATCGAACTCATCGTAAATTTCTCCGTTGATGTCCTCGGCCTGTATCTCTTCTTTGATATGCGGCTCCTCTCCTTTTACGCCGTAAGTGCTCTGGATGACAGGCATCCCAGGCTCCGGGCTGCTGGACACGCTCGAGTGCTCCGAGGGCAGGTGAGGGGAGGGCATCCCCGCCATGGCGATGGCTCCAGGGTACACGACACCGGCAGTGGCGATGGGGATCTGTGCTTGTTGCCTGTCAGGGAGAGAGGCCCGGAGAGAGACCGCCGTGAGTGAGTAGTTAGGTGCAGGCCTTGCTATAGAATTGATTTGCTCAGTTTGCCCAGCTCGAAGGCAGGGATTATCACCTTATCACCCAACATTTACAAAATTGTATCCCACTTTGATTCCAATGCCTTACTTCTGTGTAGTGCTTTATAGATTACAAGACATATGTGTTACCCACTGGATTCTTAAAACAATTCTGTTTTGTAACTATTCTATTTTATGAAAAAATTGAGGTGCAGAAAGATTAAGCAAAGCAACCCAAGTCCTGGACCCCGAGTTCATTCTTCCTTCATTACAGCATGCAGAAACATTTGTAAAAAAGGATTATAATTCGATTTTAACGGAAAAATCCTAACATATTAGAGCTCTGAAAATAAAACCTTACTGCCCAGAACTCACCAGAACTGAATAATGTCACTGTCCACCTAGTTCCTGACATAGTTTTAGGGGGGGTAGGAAACAGGGCCAGTCCTATGGGTGGACAATCTCTGAAACTGCACAGGCCTCAGGGCTTAGAAAGATCTTACACTTGTCTTAAATGTCTATTGGCACAGTCTTGAAATTCTTAATAACTTTTTAACAGGGACCCTGTATTTTCATGTTGCACTGGGATCCACAAATTATGTAGTTGGTCCTGGTAGGAAGGGATTAATAAATGGTGTTCATTCATGCATCCTTTCATTCATTCATATGTTCATATGTTTACTACTTCCCCATGATGTACTGGGTTTCATTCTCACCTTTGAGCAGAACCACGCACTGGCATATAAATAAATCACAGACCCCCGGACAGAGCAGGATGACCCTTTCAAGGGAATGGAGGGGACAGGGCAGATTTGAAAAGGTTTTTTCTAAGGTAGCCTCTGACCATTTTCATAACAGTATTGATTCTGAAAATCTCTTGGGATCTTACTAACTTCTGTTCCAAATATGAGCAACTTTATTTCTGTGGTCTTTGAGAAAATTCTGCAGAAGCGATGCAGTTGTAAGCAGCATATTATGGGGTGGTCACAGCATTGCTGTAGGAAGCAGGTAAAACACCCCGGGAGCTGCGTTCTCATTTCAGAAGAGAACTTTCCCATTCGCACCTGGTTGTGCCCCGAACAGAGTCCCTACCTTGTGTGCTCTCCTAAGGCCAGATGTGCCTCGATAACCCAGAAACCCCTCTCTACCCAGAAACCAGTGTTTCCTTCTTTGGAAATCATTTGTATGCTGGATTCTCTCACCCAGATTGCCAGTCACGGTGGCATTTATCTCTGTGAAGCCTTTGTGGGTAATGAAAGCCCACGAGGAAAAGAGTCAGTGATACTTCTAAGTTTTCAATAAGAAACTTGAAAATAATCTACGTTCAGCTATTGGATTTTCAAGCCAGCCATTAACCGAGCTCCCATGAGAGCCGCCGTTCTAGGAGCTGGGGGTGAAGTCCCATGAGCGGATCCTCCCGCAGGACCGTGCAGGGGAGAGTTTAGACTCTGAAAATACACTATGCTCGGGTCCTTTTTCAAAGTCCTGCTTTTTCGCAGCTAAACACATCCGCTCGCCATGCCGTTCGGGGTGGCAGGGTGCCCCCGGCAGCCGCGGGCGGGAGGCCTACCCCACGTTGAAGTACTGCCGCATCTCCTGCCGCCGGTTGCGCATGATGGCCTTGTACTCGCCGATGCGCAGCTTCTTGCCGTCCACCAGGCAGGTGCGCTTGGGCCTGGGCTTGTACTTGTAGTCGGGGTACTTCTCCAGGTGCTGCTTGCTGAGGCGGGCCTGCTCCTCGTAGTATGGCTGCTTCTCGAGGTTCGTCATAGCTTTCCAGCGGGACCCTGCGAGGAGAGGAAGGTTAGGGGCCAGTTTGCACAGCTGCCGGGGAGCCTGGAAAGATACGCCTGAGAACGAGAAAAGCTCAAGGAAAGATGCCGGCCAAACCCAGACATCCATAATAATGTTTTTGTTTCTTGAGCTTTGACCCAAGAGGTGAGATTCCACCAGGAAGGAGGTGTTGGCGGTTCTGCCCTCAAAGAAACTGTGCACCCAACGGTACAAACACTAGGCAACAGAAGTATTTTTTCTGGCACGAATTAACAATTTAGCCAAACTTGTCTGGCATGTACTCACAGGTAATTTAATGGATATAATCATTAAATTAGCTCACAGGTAATTTAATGGATATATCTTTCATTTCTGCATTAGGCCATGATACAATTTAAGTGTGGACTGAACAGTTATGCAAAAACTCATTACATATTTTGAATCTGAGGTTAATTATCTAGTTTTGAGTATTTTTATGTGGGGTCCATGACTCACTACAAAGGTTTCTAATGCTTATTACATATAATTTTTATGCTCCCAAAATGTTTAAGAATATTTACAAGAATAATTACAGCATAAAAATTCATTTCATTGAAATTTTAATGGTAAAATATTATATTAATGAACAGGCACTGTCTGCTGTGTGCTAGGTACTGTGCTAAAATTTCACATAAATTGTCTGATTTTTACCTTTCACCATAATCCTGTAAGATAGACAGCATTTACACCTGTTTCTATAGATTGGGAAATGGAAGTTCAAATAGATGAAGTCACTTACGCAAAGTCACACAACTATTAAACCGCAGATTTCTGGCTCAAAATCAGGTTTGATGGAACTGAAAGTGTGCTACAATGTATGTCTTTACATACCTATACCCACCTACTATATATGATGTAGCAGAGGTCAGAATTACATGAACAAGTGTGTAAGACTTTTAACAAAACACTTTCAATAATATATAGTAATGTCACTTCCTGTTAACTCAAATTGATTTCCCTCTTCTTTTCACTTTTAATTTTGGTTTAGATTCAACTAGGATTGCAAAAACAAGTATTAAAGCTCAATTACAAATAGGTTATGCTAATTCTCAATATAGATACGATTTAAAGCTTAGATTCTATCAGTATGGCTATGTGTAGTACTAAAAGAAGTCATAGTAATAATGTTTATTTTTTATTGAGCATGTGAAAAAAATCTGTCTATTTGCAGATGGAGTGTGTTTATCTGCAAGAATCCAGCTCAGTCCTACCCAAATGCAGGAAGATCCAGATAACAGAAGTTAGGAGATCCCTACCAAATACGTACGGCACTGCTGCTTCCACCTGCCTTCCAGAGTCATCTAAGCAAGGTCTTAACAGGTTTCAAATGGGTTCCTTACTCAGACGTACCTCCATATCTCAAATGCAAATAGCTCCAGATGAACAGTTCTTGTGGAGAATCCCTCAGCGTGGGCTGTGATATGTATTAAAGGGATGCCGTGGAAGGGACAGTAGCTCTTCCCTTAGAAAGTGTGCTGCAATGTTTCCTATTGGAACGTTCCAGATGTTGCCTGGGTGGGTATATCCACACAGGTATTACAAAGATCTATAAACTAATTTTTCCAATCTAGACGGCCAATATGATTTTATCCTATTTACAGCAAAAACCCAGGGTATGGTTCAAATAATAGAACTTATTTTTCTATTCTTTTATCAAACGTGTTTTATTAGCAGTGTCCAGTGGTGTCAGTTGTAGGCATAGTCTCAAATTCCTTATTGCCCAACACTATGCTCTAGAAGTACTTGAAAACCATTATGTTCTTCTCATGGCAAATACACATGCGGATAAAGCCATAATACTATTGAACTGGATCAGTTATTTGTGTGGAGTTTCTTACAAGTATGTACAGTTTGCCAGAATATTGGACCTCATATCAAGGAGTGAAAAAGTGAGCTGACCAAAATAATTTACTGAATAATTATAGGAATACAGTGAAATGGAACAAGAATGGTTGACTTAAAAGTCACTAGCTACCGTTATCACCCCATAAGACAGAATACTCAGGGTTTTCATTCAAACAGGACTGGCCAGCGATTCTTTCCTAAGTCTAAATGTTCTATAAGCTCAAAAAGAATACGCTTCTCTAAGGAAGGAACTGCTTATGCCTCATAGGAACCTGCCTTGGTATGTGAACACTCTGTTTAGATTTCCCACTAGGTGCCTGACGCTGTATTAATTCCTGGCTATGCAGTGGTGAATTGCTTTGGCTCTTATCTTCTTGCAGTGGAGAGGAAATATATTAAACAGTTAATTATAAATTTTATTATTTTAATTGTAGTTGAGGGAAGTACAGGAAGCTATAAGAACATATGGTAAGGAGGTGGAATCAGTCTTCTGTGGGTGAGGAAGGCTGTGCTGCAGAATGACTCCTACAGGTAGCAGAGGGAGAGGAGCATCCTAGGGAGGAAAGATCTGGAATGGCCCAGGCCTTGCAGTAGGAAGGGGGGTAGAGGAACTTAAAGAAAGCTGGGTATGGCTAAAACTCAGAGAAAAAAATATATGTTTATGTATATATAGATAAAATTATATCTTTCTATAATTAAAGATGAATACATTTTCAGAGAAGTTGGCTTCTAAATCTGGCATGACCCAGGATCACAAAATATTTAGATATTTAATAACATACTTTCTCTGGAATTATCACTGAGTCCGAAGCTACATTTTAAAATATGGCCATATCAGTTACTAGTTCTTTTAAAATTAAGAATTAAGATAGCTTAATAATTTTCTAAGTACAGGTCTTTTATCTCCTGAGTTAAATTTATTCCTAGATATTTAATTTTTCATTGCAATTGCAAATGGGATTGGTTTTGTAGTTTTTCTTCCTGATAGTTCATTCTTGGTGTATTTTTTTAAAAAAATTTACTCATCACTTAGTGGAGTAAATTCCCTAACTCTTCCATTTTATGACAGGGCAGAACAGTGTTTCAGCTTGGTGGCAAGTGCCATTTTTATTTTTTAATAATAACTTCTGAACAGGGTTAACCACATGACAAGTTCGGTTTCGGTGTCAATGGCTCTGCAGGTACAACCACTGTATGTGACTGCGACACAAACCCCTGGAGCCCACAAGATGAGAATGGCAGGAAAGCACTTGCTATATTTCTAAGAATATGAAAACGTCCGCTTGACTTGGGTGTGGCCGGTCGCTCACCCTGGGCCATGCCCAGGGCGTAAGTCCCCTGCTTTATCAAAAGGCCGGCCTTTTACAATGAAAAACAGAGAAGGACATTTGGGCATTCCTACTGATGACAAAGAGGGAGATTCAATAAAAAATATTTGATGTTAAAAAAAACCAAAAACACAGTCTTGGCAGTGCTTTTTTCCTGTCCAAATCTGGCAACACAATACAAGTGACGAGTTTGAGCTGAGCGACGTTGTCATCTCCATGGGGTCTGTAATGAATTTGCACATTTTACTCCGACTACTGTATATCTAATCGGAAAAAGATGTCCCCCATTCCCTGATCTAGTGCCAAACAGTAAAAGGTGATTCCTTATGTTAACAATTTCAGCAGAATGGCTTATTAAAACCAGATTTTAGGGTATTATAAAATGCTTAGAAGCCCTTTAAAATGTCAACTAGCATCCCCAGAGACTACGTAAAATGTCAACCCAGCTCAAGCGCCTGTTTTAAGCAGAATGAATTAGCGGCATGCTGTCGGACGCTGTTATCCAAAACAATCAGGGAAAGGGAAAACACCAAGCTTTCTTTGTACTTGTACATGAAATGGGACATTCAGAATAATCTCGTGGCTATTTAAAGATCACTTATTTATTTGAAACTATGACTAAATATTGAGGTCCCCAACACCTCGGTGTTTCTTTTTCCTGCTATATCTTTAATTAATATAATTTCATGGAAAAGTCTGAAATTAGGCAGCACTCTCTTTCATGTAGTCTATTATAAGATAATCATATGGCTAGTGTAATATTCTTTCCTCTTAACCAGAAAGGAATTCTTTTAGCTGGTCATCCCTTTCCCATATAGGCTTTTGCTAAAATTTCCTAAAATATTTCACATCATTAAAACTGACATTTCTCTTATACTTAGGATAAAGTTTTAATCAGCGATTATCATTTTTAGTACTCAGACATATGACTTGAGTGATATAGAGACAATTTCAACAATCTTAGTATTTAGTTTGTTTTACTTTTACAGTTTGAGATTTTGAGATTTCTAATTTGAAAAGGACTGATATGTTAAAATATGAAATTTACATAAAGTATTTTATTCTTTTCTATAGTTTTTCCAAATAAAACAGGTATGATTATGTTTAAAGAATGAAAAATTCCATATGGAAGGTAAAGTCATAAAAAGGAAAAATAGATCAGAAATGGTAAGAGATGCAAAAAAATGTGCATGTCCTTTTGATTGGTTCCATTTTTTGATTATACATGGACATATACTTTCATACGTAATTATTCATGTTTTCTAGGTATACCTAAAGCTTCATAACCTTATAAAAATAATGTTCATTTAAAAATCTCAGAATCATTTTAGATGAAAACTGAGACACAGGTTTAAGTGGTTACCATTTTTTGTTTGGCTTCTGTACAGATGCTTGCTGTGGACTGGTTGGCATCTATTACCATTGCTGAGATTATGGGATCATGAAAACACATGTGTATGCTTAGTAACTGCTTTTAGATGATCACTTTCTTAATGTAAATACTCAGAAAGAACACTACATTAACTACATATAATTCCAAGTGTATTATGGATTTTAATAAAGTTTTAACAACATAGTCAAATTTTGTTACTTACTTGTTAAAGCTAAAAGAGTTGTTGATAGTTGCTCTTATTCTATTTTTATTGTTTAGTGTTAGAAGGCAGGGAGTCAATAATGGAAATTTGCTTAGGTTGTCCAGTACCTGGCCACTGCACTACTTGAACATGATAATAGTGACGCCAATAATGGTGGTCATGATGCAAAACAAGAGAAATGGAATCGTCCCTTCCTTTTCTTCTGGGACTTAAACTGGTCAACAATAGGTCTCTGCAGTCAGTACCCTCTCGCCCATCTTCCTGTGTGTTTGTGTCCAAGTGTAGGGTGAATATGTACGTTGTTATCTGTTCAGCTGGAAGCTACAACTGCAGTGGGAAATGCACTCTCGACATCTTGTGTCCTGACACTGTAAACTGGTTTTCAGCTGTGCTCCTAGAACAAACACCATCTCCACCCCGAATCCACCCCCCCCATGATGGCTTTCACAGTGGAAAATGGAGAGATAAATATGCTCAATTCCAATACTGAGTGGCTCATATGAAATAATTTTCTTTCCTCTAAGGGGTGGGGTTTGAGTGACTGGATGAAAAGGTAAAGGGATTAGGAGCATAAATGATTGGTTACGAAACAGTCATGGGGATATAAAGTACAGCCTAGGGAGTGTAGTCAATAATATTGTAATAACTATGTATGGGGCCAGGTGGGTGCTGGAAATATCGGGGGAACACTCTGTGAAGTGTATGACTGACCACTGTGCTGTACACCTGAAACTAATACAGAATAATGTTGAATGTAAACTGTAATTGATATATAAAATTTAAAAGAAAACAGGAGCAGAAATTTTTGCTGCCTTTGCAGATGGGTTTTTAAGTGTGGGCCAAAGGTCACATATAAATATAAAGAGGTTAAAAAAGAGAAAAAGAAGGAGAAGTAGAAAAAACATTAAAAGATCAAAATGATTATTAATACCCCATAAAAAAGAGACTTTTTTCCTAGTCTCAGTACAAATATTTCTAGATTTTTGAAGAAGAGGAAATATTACAACAATTAATACAGAGACACTCAGCTAAACGAGCTGCAGTAACTGGGCACATTTCTCAACAAACACGGGCTGTTTTACCATCAGAAGAAAAGGTTCAGTGACGGTGCTTATTTTTAGATAAGCAGATAACATGAGCTGGCCGGCCTCCAAGCCCCGGATCTTTCGACAAACGCAGAAATACAGAACTGTGCATTTAATCCACACAGCGCTTAACCCTCGACGCCTTTCTTACCCAGTATCTTGCTGATGTTGGAGTTGTGCATGTCAGGAAAGGCCTGAAGGATTTTCCTTCGTTCGTCTTTAGCCCACACCATGAAGGCATTCATTGGACGCTTTATGTGGGGTTCATTGCTACCACGCCCCCTGGATTCTCTATAAATTCTTGATTCTGAGACTCCAGCACTTCCTAAAAATAGGAAACATGGGTTCACATTAGTGTGAAAACTTTTGACATTTCTATTCCTTGCATTACTGTTTTTTGGACTGTTAAAATATCTGAAAACAAAAAGTACATATGAAAATGGTACTTCTAGTTCTTGAGACAGATGCTTATTTGTGAAGTTTTTGTGATAAGCCTTGTGGTGGCAAATGTTGTATTTGTATTTTAAACCCATTTATATTTCCCTTTCTTGCAATGGTGGAATATTTCACCTTTTACTTTTAAGAGCACAAAAGAAACTTGAATATGTGATCTTTGATACAAATTGGAAAGAGAATAGTTGGATTAGATCAATATACATGCGGGTAATTAAAATATTAAATAGGCAAAGGAACTCAAAAAACTGTAAAACACTAGTATGTTCAACAGATTGGATGAGTACAGGTAAGTGTCTCTGCTACCTAAGGACTATCAGAACATACATGTCAAGTATTCATGCGATTTTCCTCTCTGAGGTTATATAAATAAAAATGCTGTATATAAAATTTAAAGGTTAAAACACAATATAGACATTCTCCTGCAATGTGCCTGGCTTTTCTTTGCAATTATGTGCTAATAATAAATGCGTGAAATATGCTGATGCAGCAATGATATTCTGCTCCCCAAAAGACATTTGATAATTGCAGGGAAAAAGACAAATATTACATTACTATGGTGTCTTAAAAAGTCAACATCCACATATTTAAGGTGAAGAAAATGATATATTCATTTCCCTTAATTTTGCCCCTAATCTCTGCCTAAGTTATCCAGAGACCCAGTGAATTTTACATTCCAATCGGCAAGACTCATGTTGATAAACACAACCAAGAGTCACAGTGGAAACTGAGGGAGCTGCAGTCACTCCTCTAGACTTTATGAGACTGTAGAATAGTTTTGGTAGATTAAACAGCTTCCAGAGGTGCTTGAATTTAGGCAAAAAGAAACACACACACACGCACACACACACACACACGAGAGAGAGAGAGAGCGCAGAACACATGACACTCTGATGTTGTTTTCCAGGGTTATCGTTACAAAAAATGGAAGAGAGGTATATTGATAGCACATACAATTTTTAAATAATTTGGGATTTTTAGAGCATGTCGTAATGATAAAAGCATTATTTCCCCCCCTCCTTCATATTCCTCTTCCTTTCTTAATTTGAAGGACTAGGAATCAACCAAAATTACCCAGACTTGAAGGCCTCCATAGCAGCAAACCAAAAAACACAGCCTATCTCTTACTGGAGTTTCTGATTAGCTCTCATTCATTATATGCTTTTCGGTCTCATGAAGACTGGGAAATATTTTGCACACAAGCATGACTGAATTTAACAAACAACAGTAACAGAATTTTGATGTTTTATTGCTGATTATCTTGCGTATATTTTATCATGCTAATGCAACTTAAAATTTATGAAATGTGTTATACCAGTAATTGCTTTTTTATTGACAAAAATGAGTGCTAATATATGGCAACATCTTTCTAAAGTGGGCTCGTAACTAGCAAATGATCATTCGCACATCTGCCTTTTCCTGTTCTTACACCTGACAGCAACAGAAGCAAGAAACTGAATGTCACGTGGCCCCATCAGAGTTAAACAAGCTCTTTGTATGTAGTCAGGCCAGGGGATCTTATCCCAGGAAAGGAGAAAATAGAAAAAATGTTCGGGTAGAATAGGCCAGAAAAGCACAGACTTTTCTTGGATATCCAATTGAATAAAATTGTTTTGACAGAATTATCTGGTTAAATGCTCAAGTTTGGCCAGTGCAGAATTGGACTTAAAAGCAGAATTGGCCCAAGGCACAAGTAGACATTTGTGTATTTTGGGAGAGTCAGGTGAGCTGCTCTATCTTAAAGTACAGTTTTCCTGGTGCAGTCTTTTCTCTGTGCAGCAGCTTCCTCTGCAGGAGCAGCAATGTGAGGCCAGTGCCCTTACGATGCATATGTCACCTGCCACTGCAGAGACGTGTCCAGATGGGCTCAGTGGAAGAGGACTAGCACTTTTTGCTTTTCCCGCTTTGCTGTGCTATTAAAAGCAGAGCATCCGCTGCATGAGTGGCCGCCGTGGCTGTTGAGAGTGGTCCGAGGTGATGCAGACAGAAGTCTCGAGCGAGGCGCGCGAGGCGGCGAGAGGCTGGCGGCTGCGCTCCCCGCGGGGCCGGGTGGGCAGGACGCCTCCCGGGCGGTGTAAGGGGGGAGGTTCCCGAGGGCAAGAAACCATCCTACACATGTCCTCTGGGCCATGTGTTCTCGTCAGGGTTTGACAAATGAGCTGATAGATACAAATTTCTGGAAAGTTTGTTTCAAGTACAAGAAATAGGGAAGTGAGCCACGGGCGGTGTGGCTCAGTGGTTAGAGCGTCGGCCCTCACCCCGAAGGGTCTCGGGTTAGATTCCAGGTCAAGGGCCTGTAGGCGGGTTGCAGGCTCGGTCCCCAGCCCCAGGCCCAGCCCCAGTTTGGGGCACACGTGGGAGGCAACCAATCAACGTGTCTCCCACAATGATGTTTCTCTCTCTCTCTCTCCCTCTCCACTTCCCCTCCCTTCCTCTCTCTCTGAAAATCAACAGGAAAAATACCTTCAAGTGAGGATTAACAAAACAAAACAAAACAAAAACCAAAAAGAAATCGAGAAGAGAAAGACCGGATGGTGATTGAGTGTATTTGAATACGGCTTTGGAATCATTCCATCTTGAATCCAAGACCTGCCTCTGGCACTGGCTGCCCTGTCACCTTAGGGGAATGACTCAGAGCCCTCAGGGCAGGCTCTTTATCTGCGACAGCACTTACCACCGGGTGCGCCAGGGGTTCCTGAGACGGTGGGTGCAAAGCACTCAGCGGAGTGCGTGGCACACAGGGACCGCCCAGCACGCGCGAGCTCCTAGTGTAATGATCAGGTGTGAGGTGACTGCCTTGTAAATTTTTAAGCAGTCATAACTGGCACTAAATAGAGGTTTCTGCACACTATTGGAATACATATGAACAATTTTCACAAACCATCAGAATCTCCACTCATATTGAAATCCATCATGGCATGGCTAAATTTCCCTTCTTCATTCTGTTTCACTGCCAATTGCTGAGTCAGACTCTCCAGTGTTGTTTTTTCCTAAAAAAAAAAAGAAAAGAAAAAAAATTATAGTGAGAGTTCAATCCGGAAATATAAGTACACAAAGACATTTTTTCTTGGGCCATAGATAATACATCAGCTTCTGGAGGGATGGGATATCGATGTATCCACCTTTGCACATCCAGCACAGTATGTAACTGGAGCAAATGATCGACAGGACTTTCTAAGCATCTTTTCTTGTTCTTAGAATCCCCGTTACAATCTTGGCACTTGGATTTGGTGTGCCGAAAAGATAAGTGCTAGGATCCTTGGAGATAACCTTCCCAAATCACAAAATGTGCATAGAAATTTCATGAAAGCGACCTGTTTTATAACATCTAAAATGCCTGCCTTATGTTTAGACAGACAGTAGAAGGGTAGAAGTGGCCTGGGCCCAGAGAAAGTCTTCCAATAGTCAGCTGACCAACTGATAGAAGCATAATCCACAGTAGTGCCCTCTGGTTGCCATCTCCTTAAATGCCATCTGCATTCCTCATGCAAGGGTAATGAAGACATTTAAATATTCATTGCTAATTGCTTGTCAAGGCTCTGTACATTCCATGTGAGTGCCTGCTAGTTGGACCACAGTTTGGTGTGGATTGCTAAGCCAAAATATTGAGTTGGCGAATTATTTGAGATACAAATATACCAAAATTAGATCTGCCAGGAAATCAAGTAATTTAAAAGCATGCAGTACATGATTTGAATTCATGGAGAACATGCCATTCCAAACTAAATTATTTTCAAGAAAAATATAATACTTAATCTGGACCACAAGAGATATTAAATCACTTCCAAATTAACTGGGTGAGTTTAAGAACTGAAAAAGCATACAGTGGAAGGTTTACAACTTTCTCTAGCACTCTCCATCATTGCTCTGAGGATGATGTGGTTCCAAAACAGTTTTAAGCATCTGTTGGATTTCATAAAATTTGCTCATGTTTCTTTACAGTTATTCACCTTGTATTCTGAGGAACACAGTCATGAACTGAACAAGTGAACCACATACACTGCAGAACAGCTATTGATGCAATAAATGTTCACAGGAAATAATCAACTACTTAAGATCGCTGTATTACAGGCAAAGGGCCCAGGTAATGTTCTCACCAAGAGCCAAAGGGTATTGAAATTAATACAGCACATGCTTTCTCTCTATACATTCTCTGACAGTTTTACAGTTGTACATACTAGATAAAAATTTCTCTTAATTTAGTGGCCTTGGAACCCCTGTTCTCTACTGGTCAAGTTATGTATATGATTTAATAGAAAAATATTTTAAAATTATAAATCACTATAAAATACAGTAGGGAAACTGGGAATAGAATAGTTCTATCAACTTTAGTTCTATAGGATTATCTAGTACCCACAATGAAATAAATGATCAATTTTAAAATGTTGAACCTATCCCAATTTGTTTTGTGTATAAAAGTGGTATTTTCAACTGCTTTATATGTTCTGGATTTCTTTTGCTGAGAGCCTGCTGTATATATCAGCTCAGCTCAGGAGCACCAAGGACACCAGCCTGACAGACTCTCGTTAGAGTAAGTGGAGCTGTTAAAGTACAAGACAGTTACATTAAAAAACAACAACACATTCCATCAACGTGATATGATAGTCCCCAGGTCAATGGAGACTCCTGTGCTATCTCTGAGGAATGTACTAGGCACGGATCACCTCGCAGGTTTTGATTTAACAGTGTAGAGGACAATTATGCTACAGATTTTCTAGAGAGTTTCCCACTCTGAAGTAAAGCCTTTCAAGAAGAGAGAGCAAAATGGAGTTGATTGGAGTATAAAAAATGAAATGTTAAGTGACTTCAAGGTTCTGAGGTCAGCTGTTTGGATCTTATGCCATCTTACCAAGAGGCTAACATTAGAACCAGTTTTTACAATAAGTAACCTCTAATCATCCACCTCTAAAGCACATAGTATAAAAAATGACTCAATTAGTTACCCAAAAGTGGAATTTACAATACTTCTCAAGAGGATGTCAGTGGGAGACAGGGGACGTTAACATGGTAGGATGCACTATTTTTTGACCCTTTGCGTAGTCATTTAAGCTAATTCTCAGACACGTGAACAGGGAAAATGAGAGCTGACTGGAGGAGCTGGAGAATGTGTGGGGTGCCCTTCGTTAAAACACCTTACAACAGCGTGCAGAGTAACCGGCGACGCTGCCACATTTTAGAGCCTCTGACAATAAGTTCAGAAGACAATGAAAGAATTGAGGTAAGAAGGGTGTAACAAAACCCAAGTGGTTATACGGCCAGCATGTGGTATATAAAATATAGTTGCTTATTTGGTACATAGTTATTATGTAATTCCATATAAAAATGAATCCTGTAGCAAAAGTTTATATTTAGTTCTATGTATAGAGGTAGATATAAATCTACATGTGGATAGAAGTCTAGATAATAGACTGAACCACCAAAAGAATGAGACTGATTTAAGGTAAGTTCTCAGAGCATAAGCCCAGCCATCCCGGTGTGTAGGAGAACGCATCGGGCGAACGTTACAAGGCCAAGTGCCGGTGCGTGGGGAGGAGCCCCCCCTCCTTCCACCCACACCCCGCTGCCCCTCCCAGGGGGCTGCCGACGTACAACCGGGTCCAAACACTCGGCCCTTTGGGATTCTCTTCCTTGGGTTAAATATTCCCCTTTCCAACGGCCTCTATTCAAGTTTGCAAATATTACTGAGAATGATCATATTTTTAGTCTCAAAGTTCTTATAGTCAAATTAATTCTTTCTAAATAGAGGGAGCTGAAACAAAACGAGGGCAGTAAATATCAGGTAGGAAGGGGGTAAATCGGAAGATGCTGAAGATAGGAAACACCAAAGAAACCGAGTTTGGGGAAACAAAACAATGTCAATGGGCACAGGTGACAATTTTTATCAAATTTATTCTCAGTTCCAACTGGCTCCAGTAAAAACCACATTAATCAATATTTTGTACAAATAAGGAGCACTCCACTTTAAGATCAGTGTTCTGGCCCACAAATCTAGTTATACTTTCCCGCCCTCTCAATACTATTCAAGCACCGATATTGAAACTGACAAGAGTGGTTGGCTTTCTCTTTGCTACCTTTTTTCCTATTAAATATAAAACAAACAAACAAAAAACCCAGGCACATTTAAAGAAATATTTGCCAAAATTCTACACTGCTCTGAGTAATTTCGGAGTAGAGAATACAAGCAGATTTATTGCTAAAAAGTAGTCAAAATGAAATAGGATATATAAGTTAGAACCAAATAAGATGGCCTGTATGCTTTCTCTCTTGAGTGAAAACTAATAATTGTATTACAACCAGATTTCCTTTGGCAAGATGATTCTTATCTGGCCAATCAAATTTTACAAAACTATGTAAGTTTACTAAGGTGGCAAACATTAGGTAAATCTGATTTCACTTGAAAAATCTTATAATCCTACGTTGACTTGTGCAAAGATCCAAATGAATTGTATCTCGTCTACAGAAGAAAAGAAAGTTTTAGACTATAAAGCTTCTTGGGGTCAAATGCATAACTCTAAAAGTCAACATTCAAAGAACTATTATTAATGTGCTAATATTCACTTAGGGAATTTGGCAGCTGGTCTCGGGTTCTGTGGTTTATCCAATGACTTGCAGAATGGAAAACAGCACATGTATTGTTTGCACATGACACCAGGCTCTGGTGGAGTCAACAAGGAAAGCCGTTAAATATCTAAAGAAACGCGGTCAGTGAGTTGATTAGAGGTGTTCAGTGAAGATCTGTATTTCCTAAGCCAAGAACCTCCTGAATGGCAAAAGGCCACAGGGATTAATGGGAGAGGACACATTTGTAAATACAGATAATAACCCATTTAGAAAATAAGGGGTATGGCAATCAGGAATCTTTTAAATTTTATTTTCTACTTGATGCTCAGGTGTGATGGTTTACAGCTTCATAATGTAAGTCTACTACATATTTAAATTGAAAACTTCTATTCCATTACCTCAACTTACACAGAAACCAACTAAAAATTCACTGTTTGTAGTGGCTCAAATGCACATTCTTTGTTAATATTTAATAAAGAAGTCAAAACAACAAAAAAACCCCACACAAACTATACTTTAGAAGAGGTGATATTTTCTTAGCTACCTAAGTCTGAATTAAACAGTTCACGAGTAGATGGTTCCTCTATTGCTCCTTGAAATTGGGATTCGTAGAAGTGATGAGCTTTGCTCGCCACCAGACACACATACACAAAGGGAGAGATGGGCTGTGGATCAGCTATCATAATGGACATCCCTGAAATAAAGCTCACCAAGCTATAAAACTCATAAAAAGCACATGCATGAAATGACAGAACAGAGTGTGACTGTCAAATGTTGACTCAGAACAGTTAAACCCCTTTTGGCTACACTGTTTTTATGGTCTCCTTCTATACTAATGACACGGGAAGAACAAAGAAACAAAAAGGGTTTTTAACCCTCCATTTATGTGAATCTCACAGACCACCAAAGAAGATGAAAGATTATTTATAATGTCATAACGATTTATTAGTTGGAAATTTTTTCATTAGCTTAAGTAAAATACAAAGAAACAGTGCATGTGTCCACCCCCTCCACCTCTTGGTTTCACCCTTGCTTATGGAGATGACCATTTTCTAAAAAACAATCACCCACATAATCTAACAGCACAAATTGATGAAAAGGCTTTCTTGTAAATTGTATATAAATTATATACAAATACATACACACATTCTCTCACACACACATACATATACTTCCCTTCACATCAACAATAATGCAAGTCACAGAAGTCTTTCACTAATTTACTCTGGTCAAATGTTAACTTACCCATTAAGATATTCCCAGACACTTTGGTCCTCTGAAATCTTGTATTCCTTAGGAATATTTTTCCATTCATTTTCTCCATCAGAGAATCATAGGGGGATAGGAGCTACATAGTTGGAAAGGTCTGTAAGTGTCCTCTGGGCTAATCATCTACAAATTCGGTCTTCTCTAATCCTGATTTTTCCCC